GCAGCCCCCCAGCTGCCAAAACCTTGCCACATGAACCCCATACACTTGTGTATAATTGTCAATCCAGGATGCTCATACAGATCCTGCATACGCTTGAATTTCTGCAAACATATTAACTACCAAGGAATTTGTAGAATCAGTGTAGAATCTCTTCATAAAAGACAAATGTGTTAAAATGCTCCGGTTAAAGAAGGTAAAGAAACAGTCATGTTTCTAACACTTTAAAATTTTTTCTATCTCAATTTAGTTTTTGTTGATGAAAAAGGCAATATAAAAACAGTAAGTGGAGTGCGTTAGAATTACTTCTGTAAATGTAATCCAGTGTTCTGTAAAGTATGTAATAGTAAGTCTATTTTATGATTTGTTATTGCATAATTATTATTAAGATGCAACGTTCAGCAGAACGTGTTCTACAGTAGTGAACAGTCCAGATAAATGGGAAACCAAATTTGTTTCAATGTGAAATATGAATTTTGAGTTTTTATGTTCCTGCTTTTCAGGATTTTTTGGGACAAATGTTTTGTACACTGGGAGAAATCGTTGGATCACAGGGGAGCAGACTGGAAAAATCAATTGTGTGAGTATGTTGTTCTTGAATGTTGGATGAATACATACTGCTTCCCATGGTGAGAGTTGTGGCATTTTTTTGCTGTGAGGTATCTTGATACACAGAATTGACAGACATGGCTTCTAAGAGAGAAGAAATTGTTAGGTACAATAGAAGTCTTTCTTTATAGACTATGATAATTTAAGTTTCAGTTTGGACAATTACCAAAGGAATTGACTCATCCAAGATTTCTGTCAACTTCATTATATCTTGCATTAGAAATAGTCTGAGTACACTAATCTTAAAAATATTTTTCTTTCTACTTTACAAATTAACACGTCATAAATCTTTATTGCTTCTTGTTCAAGCATCAAGGAAGAAAACCCTCACTGTTTCAAATCCAAATATTCCTACTTGTATTTCTGTTATTCCCTATAATACAACTCTCAAGCAATGAGGCAATCTGGCGTATCAAATATTTTCTATTTATCCTACTAAATTTATAAAAAAAATTCTTATGATCAATGGATTTTTCTCTCACCGGGAAGATTTTGATGTTTGCAAACCATTGTTCATAGAGATGTACAGTTATTTAAAATACAAATTATTTGAACAGTCTTCATTTTCTATTCCTAAATAATGGTTGAGTAATTGAAAATATTTTACAATTTTTGTCTAAATATATGCTACAAATTCTTATATGACATTAAAAGCAAACATTTAAAGGTAGAGCTAGAGCTAGGCATTTCATATGATGGTAATATCTTTTGATTTTGAATTTTTGTGGGGTTTTTTTTGTTTTTTTCTTTAGTAGTAATTGCACTGCAGTGAAGGATCATGAATTTGGTTATTCTGTCTGATGGAGCATTCTTCTTGTCCCATTTTACTGGGTTCATTATGAGTAATATACCAGGAATTACTTCATTTACTTTTTTTCATCACTGATTTCCGTGTAAGGGCAGATTAAGTTTTTCAGGCTTAACAAGCCTTATATTATTTTGGGCCAAACTTTGATGAAAACATCACACGGGGCACATATTCTGACTTTGTATTGAAATGACAAGAACCAGGATCTGAATGAACTACAACAATTTGCAAAATTCAGAATGTACTTAGATATTATTTTATTATAACTGCAAATATAAAAAAAGTCCCTACAAAAGTTATATGAATGATGTATTATTAATCTGGTGTAAAATTCTTAAGAAATATGTTCCTAGCCATAAATTTTCTTCTCTGTATATATTTGATGTAATCAACCATTTCTGTTACTCAGGTGACCCTTTTATATCCATCTGTGGTGGTTTATATGGCTTATACACTGCTTATCTTTTTATGTATCCTGTACCTATCAACTTCAAACTTAAACATTAGTTTAAGTAGTAGCTTGGAAGTCCTGTGAAGACTCTCAGAAGTCAGTATTTTAATATCAGTGTTCAAAATACACCGATGGTAAACTTTTCCCCTAGATTTTATTAGAGACTATTAGACTTTTTTCTTGTACATGTAAAGAGCTTAATGTCATTGATTAAAGAAATTTCTAAAAAAGGCATTTCTTTAGTTTGTATCAAGGAGCATGGTGATGTTCTGTGAAGGTGGCCCTAAACTTTTCATTGTGGTGAAAACAGTGGTCAGCTTCAAGGACACCCTCATATGATAGCTGTAATTTTCTCTTTGAAGAACTTTGAAGTGTTGAGCTGTCAAGCTAAAAACTCTCCTCAATACCGAATGCAGTTAAATTCTTAACATTTTTACAATTCCAACACAAGCATAACCTTGGAAAAGCATCTAAAGTTTCCAATAAGAATGCCAAAAATAATTTCAGCTTGTCTCTAGAACTTCTTCTGGATGAAATAACAGTTCAGAACAGACCATTTAAATTCATAAACCAAAAGAAAATTTTCATAGTTTTCCTTTAATTTCATCTAAGGGTCCTTATGAAATCATAAAAACTTTAAAGTAAAAGAAATGTTTCCATTACAAAAACTATGGTAAACTTCCTTTGATTATATTTTAAGTTTAGAAAATATTTTAATGGGATTTAATCTACTTGAATTCCTGAGATTTATGCAAACTTGAAATCCTTTTGAATCATAAATGTCAGGGGTTGGCTGGCACTGCTTTGTGGGGAGGCATTCTTGTATTGATGCCCTCCCAGTCCAGTAGCCTTGACTAAATTCTGTCTGTGTCTTCCTTCCAATAATTTGTTTTTTATACAAAGGAAAATTTCAACTGGACTCATTTATCATACAGTTCATACTGAAAAATTGAGTAACATGAAAAAACTTGAAAAGTCCTTGTAAAACACTTTTTCACTTAGTGTTTTATCAAAAAAATCCTTTGATTTAGTTTCCCTCATTTACAGCCAACTGCCGATGATTCAAACTGATCTGTAACAAATGTAAGCTGGTAGTTCTCTTACTGAACTCAATGAGTGCTGTGATCATTACTGCTGCAACATCCTTTAACAATATGATTCATATTATCTTTAATATTCAGAATTGAGGTCAGTAATAAATGCATTTTAGATGAATTTTGAGGGCTTCCAAATATAGTTGAGTCACCTGATCACTGTTTTTACAGACTCAGTCTTTATGACAAGTCCCTAGTAATCGTCCCTACTCCCCCCTTCGCCGCAACCTCTCCTGCCCTCCTCACCGTCCCTCCTCAAGGACTACACCAATACTTGTTACACTATTTATTTTTAAATCCGGTAACCCAGTTGGAGAAACAGCCCCTCTCAGCTCCTACCAAGGGCTGTCCCAGGAGAGTCAGCACCATGGGATGGGGATACATACTCTCTACTTGTTCTGGATGTGTTTTTAGCTCTTGATGGTCAGGTTGGTTGCATAGTTTGACTGTCTACTTGAGCACACAAACAGTACCCTGTCAATGTGGACAAAAGGTTGGCCCTATTTTGTTTACTTCTACTAAAATAGAAGCTCACTAACTTTTCACTATCTAGGCCTAACTTATGCTAACTGCCACAGTGAATTGCACGGTTGCAACTCCCCTGACTGTTTTGACTAGTTGTCAGTTGACTCTGCTGGAAGCCTGTGGTGACTTGGTCAGAGAAAGGTGCTGTCTTTGAGGACGCCCATATTTAGTAAGACAAATCTGGATGACTTCTTGACTGTCTTTGTAGTTCTGTCTTCAAAGTGGTAAATTTTTCAGCACACTACACTTTTTTTATGAGAAAATTCCTGAAATTTATTTTAAACATGTAGATTAAAAATCAGCCATTCAGCAGTTTGTCATCACTCAGTACAGGTTAAGTGAAGTCTGAAGTGGGTAACAAGGTTGTCATCGTTTAACCTGGCAGGTATCTAAAGCAACCGCACAGCCATTTGCTCACCCTTTCCCCACCCAATGGGATGGGGAAGAGAATCAGGAAAAAAGGTAGAACTCATGGATTGAGATGAAGATAGTTTAATAGGACAGGAAAAAAAATAACCATGATGATAAAAGTATATACAAAACAAGTGATGCACAGCACAGTTGCTCAGCACCCACTGACCTCGATGCCCAGTTAGTTCCTGAGCCACGGCCCCTCCCTGGCCAGCTCCTCCGGTTTATATACCAGGCATGACGTTGAATGGTATGGAATATCCCTTTGGCCAGCCTGGGTCAGCTGTCCTGGCTGTGTCCCCTCCCCGCCTTCTGGGCACCCCCCGCCTGCTCGCTGGCAGCCCAGCATGAGAAGCTGGACAGTCCTTGACTGTTTAGCAACAACCCAAAACATCAGCACGTTATCAACATTATATTTATCCCAAATCCAATACACAGCATTATACCAGCTATCAGGAAGAAAATTAATTCTATCCCAGCTGAAACCAGGACACAGATGAAGTTTAAAGTTGAAATTAGCTATGAGAAAAGAAAAGATATCAGTGAAGATTCTATGGAAAAAAGGTCTTACAATTACTTCACAGTTGTGTGGCCCTATGTAATACATTTTCTCTTGGGTCAACAAACATTGTTCAGGTCTGGTTTCTGATACTCTCTTCTATAACAGTTACTAAATGGACCCAAATCAGTTGTCCCCCTGCAAGATTTTTAAATATACCTTCCTTTTTGTTATATGTGGCATGGGTAGATACTTGTTAATTGTTAATGAGAAAGTTCTTGACTTTTTATCAGCTCTTCCCAGTGTTCAGGTTTTATTTTGTCATTGGTGCTTTTGACAGTGGCTAGACAACTGTGCCTGATTGATTGTTCACTCTGGAATCTCTTAAAGTATGGATACCGTGGTGTCTAGGAGACATTTGTCGTCTTACTTTATTCATTAAACCACTGTATTGCATTTCAGGATTGTTTGCTTATAGACTTGTGTTTAATGTCTCTTAATAGTCAAATAACAATAATTCAATTGACGATATTGCATGTCTTCCATTCCTGAGGATATTTAATGCTTTGAATTTACCGTTCTCTTTACAAAGTCAAATCCACATTCACATAACTTGAACGTTCTTTGTGATCTGTTACTTAAGATCAGACAGCTTTTTCTCTTCACAGTATTTCTGAAGATCGTTAAAATTTTGCCTTTTCTGTTCTCTGCCAATGGATGCACAAAAAAGAGAATGCCCAGTACTGTTTTAGTCCCAATCAGCTACCCTACTGAAGTAGCACTTTTTGTACTTGAGCAGCTTGAATTCCATTCTTTGATTGGCATTTGTCATGATTTAACCCCAGCCAGCAACTAAGCACCGCACAGCCGCTTGCCCACTCCACCTCAGTGGAGGGAAGTGGATCAGAAGAGCAAACGTGAGAAAACTTGTGGGTTGAGATAAAGACAGTTTAGTATGTAAAGCAAAATCTGCGCACGCAAGCAAAGCAAAACAAGGAATTCATTCACCACTTCCCATTGGCAGGCAGGTGTTCAGCCATCTTCAGGAAGGCAGGGCTCCATCACAGTTATTTGGGAAGACAAATGCAGTCATTCCAAATGTCCCCCCCTTCCTTCTTCTTCCCCCAGCTTTGTATGCTGAGCATGATGTCATACGGTATGGAATATCCCTTTGGTCAGTTGG